ACAACAAACCAGTGGAAAACACACCCGTAAACATACGAACAACAAGCCAGTGGAAAGCACACCCGTAAACATACGAACAACAAACCAGTGGAAAACACACCCGTAAACATACGAACAACAAGCCAGTGGAAAACACCCCCGTAAACATACGAACAGCAAGCCAGTGGAAAACACCCCCGTAAATATACGAACAGCAAGCCATTGGAAAAAAGTGTGTAGCTGGTAGCCAGCAATACGCGTCAGCGTGTTACGTTATATTACACGGGATGGGGTTGCCAGTGACAACGTCAACATCACGCAGCGTGTTCCCAGAGCTAGTGCACAGCTATGACAACAACGTGGCCATCCGACGTGGGCGTGGGCGTGAATGTACGGGTAATATTATGCCGACAGGAGAAAAATATTAGCAGGGATGATGTCAGCATCGTGATGTCAGCATCGGTGGCAAAAACAACAACAGCGACAACAGCAACGACAACAGCAACGATGACGACAACAGCAACATACAGCAACAACATCGAAAACAGCAACGACAACAACGACAACGACAACACCAACAACAACAACAACAACAACAACGACAACGACAACGACAAGAACAACAAGAAACCGACGAAAACAGCAATAACAACAAAGACAATAACAACGTCAGCAGCAACAGCAGCAACAACAACGTCAACAGCAACAGCAACAATAGTGCGACAAACCGTATAATCTGTATAAAGCTGTATTAGCGGCGCGCTGATATAGGACTCAAGTTTCCATCGAAAGAGCGATATCGCGTAGTGCATTTACGTTCGCGACTAATACTAAAGAGAAATATTTAGGCCTAATCTAAAAACGTTTAGAAACGTTTAAAAGCGTAATCACGACCAGATTTAATTGAAAATAAGCATTAAAGCTACACTGACGTTTTCCACTTTAACGTTTAACGAGCATCTGTGAAAGCTAAACGATCATTCTTAATTAAAAAAAAAAATATTTAGACAGCTTCTTGAAGAAATTTGCGACGTTTTTCGAATGAACTATCAAAGCAGCGATAAAACCTGTAGAAAACTATCAAAGCAGCGTAGTAACGACAGATTTATTACTAGCTGCGGTAGCTGTGCTAGCGTGTTTGACTGCATGCGCTGTTGTTTATTATTGTTTAAACCGAACTAACAGTCTCAATATATCAGCCGCCTTGCCTCCTTTAACTGTATATACACACTCTAACACGCGCGTAACGAGCACTCAAGGAAAACGCCAAAGACGCCAAGGGAAAGTGGCCGTTATTGCTAGGTGACCGTTCTGCAAAGGTGGTGCCACTCTATAACTGACTCTCAAAATGGCCGCCAAAATAGCCTTTATACATACGTGACCGTTCTATACAAGTGATTTCACTTTACACCTGCCTCGTAGGTGAACAGCTATAGGCACCCTTAATAGACACGTGACCGTTCTACAGAGGTGGCCGCTAACACGTGTAGTCTGCCACTGGGCACGCATACACGAGCACCGCGCAGCACCCAATGCTATGTTACCACGGACCGCAGAACACCTACTTGTATTTGTCGGCCATGTTACCACGGACCGCAGAACACCTACTTGTATTTGTCGGCCATGTTAAAACGGACCGCAGAACACCTACTTGTATTTGTCGGCCATGTTACCACGGACCGCAGAACACCTACTTGTATTTGTCGGCCATGTTACCACGGACCGCAGAACACCTACTTGTATTTGTCGGCCATGTTACCACGGACCGTCATATGCACCTACTTGTATTTGTCGGCCATCTTACCACAGACCTCACGCCACCTACTTGTGTTTGTCGGCCATGTTACCACGGACCGCAGAACACCTACTTGTATTTGTCGGCGCATGTTACCACGGCAGCCGCACGTACTGCATCCTACTTGCTATTAATCTTTGATCGGCCATGTTACACGGCACAGCAGAACACCTACTTGTAGTTTGTCGGCCATGTTACACGCGACCGCTTCCGTCGCCACCTACTTGTATTTGTCGGCTTTCTGGCGCAGCAACGTGCTCTTCACGAGCTTGTCGAGTCCGCGAGCGTACTCCATCTCGACTTCCGCTTTGCGCCGGAAAAACTCCTGAACCTCGCCGACGACGGACGTAAGCAGGTCGACTCTCGCGTCGAGACATTTCAACTGTTCGGTCAGCTGCTGCCTTATGTCTGCGAACAAATGTTTATCTGTGAGTGCATGTATAGCCATATATCTGTTAAGGCATAGAACCGAGATGGAGCAAGAGAGCAGAGAAAGAGAGGGAAAGGGAGGGAGAGAAAGAGAGAGAGAGGAGAGGAGACTTGAGAAGGGAAGTCAGGCCCGGGGCAGGGAGAGAGGAGGAGAGAGAAGGAGAGAGACGAGAGCACTAGAGCGCGGGGAGGGAGAGAGAGCAGGTTGCGAGATCGAGACAGCGGAACAGAGAGAGATCGAGAGCGAGAGAGAGTGAGAGCAGAGAGAGAGAGCAGAGAGAAATAGAGTAGAGAGAGAGAGGGAAGAGTGCAAGGAAGTAGAGATGAGAGAGAAAACCGACGAGAAGAGAGAGGGAAAGATAGCATAACTAGATAGATACATAGATAGATAGATAGATAGATTAGATAAGATAGATAGATAGATTAGATAGACTAGAATAGATAGGATAGATAGCATAGATAGATAGATAGATTAGATATATATAGATTAGATAGAGCAGCAGCGATGAGAGCCGAGATAAGAGAGATGAGAAAAAGAGAGCGCGGCGCGCGCGAGAGAGAGAGAGAGAGAGAGAGAGAGACAGAGCTACACTGCTAGCAGTTCTTACGCTACTGAGATGAATCAGCATTGCCTCGCCCAGAATTAAGTAATTTATCTCGTTCTCGGGAATCTGTGCTGCTTGCCTAGCTAAAGATAATCATCATACTGGGGCGACTAATCTAACCGTCATTACTAGTCACGAGCTGAGATGTAACCACCGACATTTAAGGAAACGAGGCGAGTGTGTACGTGCGTAAGAAAGTGCGTATGACTATAATGCGTACACGCGGCACGCGATGCACGCATGTAGCAGCGCACTGCACGCACGTGAACCTAAGCCAGTATCACGCGCGCAAATGTCAAACACAGTG